CAAAAAACTCTTATAAAAAAAAATTCGACAACAAAAAAAAAAAAAAAAAAAAAAAAAAAGGATAAAATGCAGACCGACAGTTTTATTGTAATGATGCTCACTGCAGTGTTGCAGAGTCTTACTTGTTTGACTTTTCCGAAGACTTGTTTACGTTGGTAAGATGCAAGATAGGGATCGTGGCCAATCAGCTCCAGGCAGTTTGTGAAGGCTGCTGGCGACATGCTTGTCAGGCTGTTCGTGATCCAAGCAAATGGAGCTGTTGTCTGCAGAATCTCACATGTGGGAACCATCGGAGCCGCTGTTCAGAAAATAAAAATGCCATATTTGTATGGATAGCTGTGACACATAATGCATACAGAACCTTAACTTTGTGCATTTAATTAAGGTCAGTGCAGTTTTCCCACATTGCTTTAAAAACAGTGACAGGCTGGAGAGCCAAACTGATGCTTACGTGAAAGAGGATTTATCTTGAGGAAACCGAAAAAGAACTGCAGAACAAACTGCTGCTTTTCAGCAAAGCGCCTCTTCTCACTCTCATCTAAACAGTGAAGAGCCACAATTCGGCGTTCCCACCGGCGCTGGCTCAGGAACAGCTTCTCGATACGGCCTACAGTCATCAAACCCTGTTGTTGAAACACACGAATGATCACGGCGACGCACTGATGGTTTACAGGACATCACCTGATCCTGACACCTCCTGAACATACAGGATATCATTTCAGGCTCTCTCTGCTTCATATCAAGTAACAATCCAAACATTTTGCCGTGGATGTTGGGACCTGATAGAAGAATTGGGCTTGAAGACAAATGCAATGAAGCCAAAAGAGAAGCTTTATAGCTGACAGCAAAACTGTTTAATTTTCTCTAACTCTCCAAAACATGGCAATTTTACAAGCATTGAACTCACCAAGGAAATCTCCTGCAGTTGGTCCTGAGGAAGGAAAAATAGAAACCGATCAATCTGACTGAGTGTCGTCTGGTTCCAGTTCTCCACCTCAGGGCTGAAGAAAAAAACACACACACACACACACACACACACACACACACATGGTAGCTGCTCTGTACACAACTAATCATTTTGATTTGAAGATTAAAAAAAAAATCCAGTAAATAACATTAAAAAGAAGAGCGGCTCCTTGATTGACTTGTAATTGGATGTTGTTTTATACCCGAATGCAGCAACTTCCAGCAGCATACGAGCCACAATGTCCATCTTGCTGCTACTGTAGCACAAGGTTTGGAGAAAATCCAGATTGTTCAAAAAGAATGCGCGATCCAGTTGGATCAGAATCTCATCTGAAACAAATGTGGCCATGATGTCCAGAGAGCGGAACACCTCCTCGGTGTACACACCAGTGTACATGCCCTGTAGGCGCAAGTGAAATGACAAACATGTTGACAGTGGATAAGTGACAGACTTTGAGTCGACAGTAATTTGAAAGATTCTGCACGGAAATCTTCTGACCAGCCTTTGCACCATCTTGTCCACAAGAAGCAGCTGTTCTGTTTTTGACATCATGAAAAATGGAACGGGGTCCTGAATAATCATTTTCCGCAAAGTGTCCATCACATCTGAAGGAAACTTTTTAATGGTGCTCACCCTGGAGAGAAAAGCACAACGTCATATCTGAAACTACTGAACAAGAAAGATGACTTGACTTGAATGATGTTGGGTGGTTTTTTTTTTTTTGTTTTTCTTGTAATGATCTATCACTGAATCCATCCATTCTATTTTCTGCAAGGTCTGAGGTAAGTGGAGCACATCCCATCTGACTGAGAAAGAAGTTAGAGTAAGTGCTGGACCGGTCACACAGACAATCACAAGGCAGACGGGGGAAAAAAAAATCCCATTCACTACAACAGAGATTAAGAATCTTCAGTGAACCTAGCAATAATATTTTGGAATATTTCTGAAATGTAATTTATTTTTTAAATGTTAATTCATCATATTTAAACACTGCCAATCCGATCCAATAAATGGGTGAAAACACCTTCTTTTGCAGGGGATAATATTACTCAGATTTGACTGATGCTGCTCTTCAACCACAATGATAAACATTTTGCTGGGGGGGGGGGGGTTGTGCTTGTTTAGACCAGTACACGATTGTGCACGTCAACCCAATGTTAAAGGCTTATTTATAGTTTTAAGTTCACACTTACGGCATAGACAGGGCGAGCTCCACTCCTAAGTCTTCAACCAGTTCAGAGAAGAACTCAAATTGATAGAGCTCCTCGATCACGCATTTTTTCTGCATCGGGGAGCAAACAGTCACTTCAGTGCATTCTCGCTATCGCATGACTTGGGATGACAAGTGAGACAATTTTCTTGTCGATTTCTAGCTACATTTTACCAGTGAGGTGTGCAAAGGACCGGGCTGCTCCCTGATGAGGGCCAAGATTTTCCTAAGCGCTGCAGGTGAGGTATCAGCCCTGAAATGCTTCTGTAAGGCTTGGCAGCTCATGCCCTGTACCAGCATCCCAAGACTCCTGATCATGTAAAGGGCACAAAGACACAGATATATTGAGTCTGAAAAATATTAACACAATGGTCGGCAGAACACAGAAATGAGCTATTGTATGGTAAGTAGTCGTGTTGCACACAGATGGTGTGTCAATGTAAGGCATAGAAAGAAAAGTAGTGTGTTTCCGGTAACCCGACCGACCGAGAATTTCTACGTCGAAAAAAAACTTTACGGTCGGCATTTTTTTCAAACAACCCTCTACATTTTTGTGTAGAGGGTTTACATCGGTGTAAACTCTCGCAATATTCACGTTGAGCGCGAGCGTCGTTTGCCCTGTCGTCTGTCAACAACATTGAAACATGTCGGCGGCCGCGATCTCCGACGACAGTTTAAACCGCGTTTTCTGTGTTACAGTCGCGTGCTTGCACCGTAATGTTCAGAAAATAGCATCCATTGATGTATCGAAGAAATTCAGCGAACTATTTGATGAACACCACGCGGAGCGGCGGGTTCAATGTCTACTTGTTTTATGTTTTATGGTTATTTTGTTTAAATTTTTGATGGGGGGAAAAAAAAAAAAAAAAGATTGAAAAAAAAAAAAAACTTTGTCCGACCTACCGACCCAATGCTGAAATTTCATGTTACCGGAAACACACTATCTTTTTTGTTTGGCCTAATTAGATTTGAACCCTTTCAGGGACAGCGGTTACAACAACGGACAGCTTGTCATGTTATCAGGTTACAGGGTGCATCAAAGGGTACAAAGTTATACTTACAGGAAGTCTTTGATCAGGCTTGATCTTGTATTCTGCTCCGTTTTTAGTATTGCTATAGCCTGGGGAAGAACATGAAAACATCTTATGGTGTTACATAATTGTGGCATGCTGATTTGTACAACTTGCGAGAAGTTTCCATCGTCCCTCGCCGCGGTGAAAAACAATGGAAATCCGATATAGAGACACTTGGCTTGTCTGCTGTTTCCAAGCAAGTCTAATTCCAGCAACGGCGACATCATCTGCCCTTTACAATTTAATAATTCAGTGACTACTGGAGACACACACCATCTCATCTTGACAAATCTACGAAGTGTGTTAGAAATGTGGCCACTTTGAAGCCAAGCAATGTTGAAAGAAGATGAGATGTGTGAGACCTGCTGCGTGTTCCACGCTTTAGAGGATACACTGGAGCTGTTGTCCATTAGTAGACGAGCTCTGGGCAGTACGCTAAGAAGGGGAGTGCAACAAAGTAGTGGCTCGACATCGTCCAACCAGAAAATCACCTCTGGAAAGCCCTGGTAAGAACAAAAGGTCAATAAAATTGGCAAAGGTTGGCATACACCCCCCCCCCAAAAAAAAACAAACAAACAAACAACAACAACAACAAAACTGCAGCAGTAGCCCATCATAAGGATTTGGGCTTTGGAACCCAAAGATTTCGGATCAAGACGAGTTGCAACCGGATGTTGGCCAATGCAACTCAGCTCAGGGGCGGAGTGAGGATCTGCAGGCATCCTCACGCTGCCTCTATTCGGATGTCTGCATGTGTGTGTTCGACCACTCTCTGTGTTGTGTGCACAAAAATTGCAGCGATTTAACCAAATTTTCACTTGAGCGATCATAACGAATATAAACAACATTTAATTCAAATCTAATTCCAGCAAAAGCCTGTTTCTTCAGAATGTAGAAAGAATTTCCATCAGATCGATCTCAATATAGCAAATAAAAAGGAAAAAAAAACGACCATTCAATTTGAAGGTTTCTTCCACCCATTTTTCTATGTCATACCCATAGTTTTGTGGCGACGGCATTTGCTTGTGTTGGACGGAGGCCCGCTGAGTGTTGCGCCAGGCCAGGTAGCGATGACAGCAGCCTGTCAGATGTCAGCATCAATAATGTTTCTGTCTTTACTCCTACAGTGATAGAGCCCAGCTCCTGGAGGCGACCTGGAGCGTTAAGCTAGATGGGGGCGGGGGGGGGGGGGGTGTCACGAAAAACAAAACCACTACAGAGCAAACCAACAACTTTCATTTTGAGGAGAGAGAAAAAACCTTACTGCATTGACAGATGAGAGCTTATCAACAATGATGGAGGCCTGCAATGCATACGATACACAAGATCAATAAGAAGTGCACTTCGAGAGCACGAACAGGGCTTAAAACATTTTGTGAACAGTGAGTGAACAGCTGCCATCTCGGCTCTTAATCGACAAAGAAATTTGGCAGTGGCTTAAGTTTGTGTTTCACAAACTTTGGAGCCCCAACATTTTCAAAGAATAAGTGACTTGTTTGTATTACATAGAGGAAAAACAATAACACACATTTTTGCAATTGTACAACCATTGTAAACAATGTGCTCACAATGATGACCTGTTGTCTTGAGAAATTCACAGAAGCAATTTGAATCACAAACATGAAAACTGAAAAAAATCATTTGGCCATGACATACAATAAACATTACAGAGTGATCTGAAAAGATATGACAGACAAAAGTACCTGAACCTGTTTCTCCAATTTTCCATTTTAAATTGCTTCCAAATTCATTTTAGAAGTAAACGTTTGTCTGTTCTGTACATTGTAAAAGTGTGTTGTTGTTTTTTATAATTTAGAAAATTATATTTTGTCGTCAATGTGTGAATTGTCATCAACATATTATGAGAAATCTAAACAAACAAAAAAAAAACTCTCCCAGCTCATCATTTGATTTATCTGTTTATCACCAGGCGACACGGTGTTCCAAGTCATGGGGAATTTGACTGATTGACAAACCCACACTGAGTTCCTGAATTAAAAAGTGGTTCACCATAACGCATGGAATTTTTCCTGTCTTGCCACGTACGACATCCTGTGAAATCCCGACGTTGTGTGCACCTCTCTACCTGTGCAGGACTGAACAACACAGCTCTGAGGGCAGGAAGTGCTGCAAGTAGCTGCGAGGGAGAGAGGCCCAGCAAGAAAGTCGCACCCAGGGAGGGCAGAAGGTGTGCAATGTCTGCCAGTCTCTCTGGACTGAGTGAAGATGGGATTTTTAACTCAGTGCTGTTCAGGAACAGACTGGAGGTCTGCAAGGAAACAACAGGCAAAGAAGCATGAAGCATACAGAAAGACTCTGAAGCAGGGCCCAACCGATATGGACTTTTTGAAGGCGATGCATATTTTTTGGGCAGAAAAAAAAACATATTTCCAATTAATTGGCCGATTAAACAATATAGAATGCATAAAACAACACTTTCCCCTTCAGTGTATTTCAGTGAGTGTCAGTTAAACAGGGATTTGCGCTATTCGTGCGCTGTCCTGGGACGGTAGACTGTAACTATATTGCAGGGATTGGGATTATTGCAGAATCTCAATGTTATTTATTACACGTGACAATTTGACATTCCAGTAAAATTTTAGCGAGGATCATGGAAGTTGATATGCGTGATTTGCGTTCACCACACGTGGTTTGCTTTAGCGAGCCACATAACATGACCCGACCCTTGAGTTTGACGATTTGAGATCTAAACTCTTCATACAAACCGTATTTTCCAGAGTATAAATCGCCTTTCAAGATGACATGTATGTTTTTGGTGTTGGATTTTATCAAATAAATTTCCCCAAAAAATGCGACTTATACTCCAGTGCGACTTATGTATGTTTAAGATAAGATAAGATAAGAAAACCTTTATTAGTCTCGCAATGGAGAAATTCCCAATTCACAGCAGCAAAGTTATGTTTATTCCTTCTTATGCATTTTTTGGCTGGTGCGATTTATAATCCGGAGCGATGTATAATCCGAAAAATACGGTCGTTAAGAATAAAAGGGTATGGTAGAGACGTATGTGTAATAAATAATGAGGTCAGCATTACATACGCACATCTGCTGTATAAAATCGGGAATTTAAAAATATTTAGCTGATTCTTTAACTCAAAACAAGAACTATAAGTAGCTGATTTAATCGGCTGGCCGATTAATCGGTCAGGTCCTTGTCAAACACCTCTTCATTCAATATCCTGAAAAAGTGTCAAAATCTTTGACTGATTCCAACAACCGAATACCATCATTTTAAAAATGCAAACCAATTCACAACACAAAATAGAGAAGGCATCCCAAATCCACATGGCTGCTCCTTACCAAGTGACTTGGTAGGGTGAGTCCGTCGTGAGTGCAGTTCAAGATGACATCCCAGATTACACTGAAGGCCTCACTGCCTTTGTATGCCAGGAGGTCACTTGGCTCTGCCTGACAGGAGAGACTGCCCAGCCTAACACCACAAACACAGAGTCAACAGCCCAATCCTGATTGGAAATGACATTTTGAGGAATTAATCGACAACGCTTCAATTTGGCCATCCAACATCGGGTACACTAGCACAATCTAATGACCTCTGACACAAAACCTCTTTCATTCAGCCAAATAATGTCACCCAAATTTTATGACACAGCACAGCTGTGCACCCGTAAAAAGCAGAAACGCAAAAATAAATACATTGTTATATTAACATCTTTCTCACAGTATCAATCAAAATTGAACGTTATAATCTTTGTGAAGGCAGAGTTTTGGATGAATCCGCCGCGTTGAATCTAATTAGACTGCAGATATACCTCATGAAGTGTCCGGTGAGTTTACAGTACACCGCATGCAAAACTTGAAAAAATGGGTCCAAAAGCAATATTTAGAAGTCGTAAGTTGATTGAAAGTTTTGCATGAACCTCTGCAGGATTGCCTGACCTGATGAAGTCATCAGCAGTCAAGTTTCTGTAGGTGCCGATGATGCGCCGTGCCACAAACTCCTGCTTCAAGGAAGTCAGCCTGTTCCTTTGCAATACATCCAGCCCATCTAATAGCTAGGAACAAACTGAATTAAGTAATCATTCGAAACTACAGCTCTTTTCAGCAGAGAACAGGCCCTTCAACAAGTCCAACAATATATAAATCTTTTTTTTTATGGTTTCGTCGCACACACCCTCCTCGAGTGCATACATTTATGAAAAATTATGGAGATATTTTTTTGTTATGTTAATAAAGGTGATTCACATTATTATTATTATTTACTGAGGTTATCCTTCTATCCTTGACAAATGTCCCACAATTTATGAGGGAATCTAGTTTTATTTATGGTGTACATATATCCTGCCAAACACAAATAAATGGGTAAAACACAGACTTTTTTTTTTTTCAAATTCAGGTAGTTTTAATTTGCTTGTAGAACATGATTGCTGGTTTTATTAGTTTCGATTTTTGTAGAAAATGCCTCGTTTTAGTCTAGTTGTTCTTGGTATAGTACAGTATTAGGTTTTTTTCATTTTAGGAGTTGTCAAGTGCAAGAAAAAAAAAGTCACGAAGTATTGAATAGGAAGGTAAACGACAATTAGCAAATGACCTTTTGACCTCCCTTCTTCTTTGCAGACGTGCAGCAATAACAAATTCGTTACACTTAAAATGAAGACTGAAAGCTCAAGTATGAGATTATACAATACAATACATCCTCATTTATATATTGATTGACAAAAACGTAGACAAAGGATATTTTTGCTATAATTGCACTTCTAGTTACTTTTATAGATGTAACATGTCATTTCAGTTAGATTTTTTTTTTTTAACCAAAAATCATTTTTGTTTTATTTTGTGAACAAAAATGCTTTTTTCGGTTTAATTTTAGTTATGAATATGCAAATGAACATTATGAACATGCAAATGCAACTATTATATTCTGAAGTAATGTGTTGAGTTCTTTCAACAACAACAAAAAAAAGCTGTGCGTTCAATCATGGGGAACACAAAGGTACAGTAGCTCTTCTATGTCCTGAGACAAATCGAAGTGACAGAATCATGTTTCCCCGCGTGGTGTCGGAGATCAAAGGACTGTTACCTGAGCAGGTGAGAGGTGTTGGAAGTTGTGGAAGGGCAGGTAAGTTATCACGTTTCCAGTGTCCCTGATGAGTGACTGGTGAGCTTCAGTGATATTGGAGGGGGGCAAAATTTTACTGTACCACAATCCAAAGGCTCGCTGCTGATCTGCAGACAAATGGCCCAAGTTGTTGTTAATGGTTTCCCTCCTGGAAAAAAAAAAAAAAAACAAATGAAAAAAAAAACCAAATGAAAAAAAAAACGTCTTTCAATTTATACAACTAAAAGACATTAAGCATTTTTTTAAACCCTTTACGATGCATTAATGTAAAAATCTGAAACTGTGACCATCAGCGCCAGATAAGCACAAAAGTGTAAACTGACAAAAAAAATAAAGCTTTGGCTAACAATTTGCCGATGGTTTACAGGAACGTACAACTGTACAGCATTATTTGTGTGATCATTTGTGTTTTTAATACTTCGGTATTTTATTTAGCTACGTGGAGCAACATAGTTCACTACCACCATAATAATAATAATAATAATAATAATAATAATAATAATGATGATAATAATAATAAAAAAACAGCCCAGTGAATCAGTGAAAATGCCAACATCCCTTATATTGGATCTCACCTGAATGCGCAAGGGAACTTACTGAGGTGAATGGTGATTATACTGTATACTAGTAAATAATGTAGTAAATAATTTAGTCTCCGTTTTCCTATGAAATAGGATGTTTGGTGCATTTATACAAGTGTAATTTTGGTGCTGATCAAAATAGCACGATTCAGTGTTCGTGGGGATCCACGCCCTATTTTCAGTCTTGTTTCATGTCGAGTTCAACTAAATCTGTTTTAGGTTGAATAAAAATGTAATCAAGGATTGTGCATATCACGATGTCAGTGTGCAGCTTGAATACGGCGTCTCGTACACATCAAGGTTGTTTTGCAGAGAAGGCAAAGTGTGGATGTCAGTCGGACTGGCCGCTTTGAAAAGGGGAGCCAACTCGGAAAACAGACTTCCATCCTTTGCCAGATGGCTGCTGAACAGCACGGATGTCAGGGTGGACAGGTAGTTCTCTGTCAGCTGGCATAAGACAACAGGAGTGGGACATTTTATGCATCGCCCGCACCATAATGTCAAATGAAAACATTACACCGAGGAAAATAATGCAAACAACCTTCAGTGTGTCGTTATTTCTTGTGTAGTATTGGAGGATCAGCCTGAGAGTTGTGACGTGTGCAGCACTAAGCACTGACTTCAAGCTGGCCGATGGTATGCTGAAGTATTCCTAAAAAGACAAAACGGAAGAGAAAGTGTGTCAAAACTACCCTGAAAGGACAGAAATCAAGAACAAATCATTCGACGTGTACCTTAACGATGAGATTGTCATTACTGGTTCCATCCTGGGCTGTCTGCATCAAGCTGGTCAGGACTGTCTGCAAGGGAGAACAATCACAGCCCAGCACACAGCAAGGCAGTTGAGATGACAAAAGAGTTAAAGTGCACCAACCTGTTTGATTTGATGTCATAGGAATAGCACATATCAGCAAAAAAACGAATGATGTAAACCTAAAAAATCAGGTGCAGTATCAATCTGCCTCAATTCATGCTGCCTCATCGTGTGAATGCAGAGGGAACATTTGCACAAAGGTCAACGTGCGACACAAGTCTCAAGAACTGCTGGAGCCGATATTTTTGAAACACAAGACTGTTGACAGAATGCAACAGGCATATTCATCCAATCGAGTTAGTCTCCATCCGGATACTGTCAGGCACATATTTGCATCAGGGATTGCAATGACTCCTTGAGACCTGTCAGCAAAATAGTCTTAAATTCATTTCTGTTGGGCTCTGTGATATTTTGTCCGTTTTGCCTTACATTCTTATTCTTTTCAACTGAGAGCAAATTATTATACGCACGGGATGGCATTATTACAAGTATGTACGTAAGATCATAGCAGTTGCACTAGAAAGCAATCTGATTCCTCTGCCAACCCCTTTCAATGTTCATCCTCTATTTCGAAGTATAAGGGAATGAATGAATCATTTTAGCAAGGTGCTGAAATTATGAAACGATGACAGTCTTACCCCAAAACACTGCAGCAAGACCCTCCTTTTGTCAAAGTTGTTCTCCCCTTCGAGATAACGAACGACAGCGTCGAGGACGCTATTGCGTATGCTCTTGGTGACATGCAGTGAAATGTTCTGGACCTCCTCTATTGCTAGCAAGATGACAACAGAAGCGCTGACTGCTTGGTTCAACACCGCAGCTACGGATGGCGTCACCAGATGAGCCACCCGGGACCTCAGACCGTCTGCCCAGCAGCGTATAATCAATCGCACGAGCATGTTCTGGCTTGCCCCAGGCCTGCAGGCTGCGCTGAAGTCAACAGGACAGGTCCAGTTGAAGTGCATCACTAATTGTTTGGCCAAGCAAAAGTCCTCCGAGGTTGTGTTACGAGTGGCGTTGCTGTCGGTGGCACATATGGTGCTCACCCAGAGGCGAGCGGGCTCATGTGCCAGAGAGTCGAGAAGGGCAGGACTGGCGCAAATAAATGACACAAAGTTGAACTGATCATGCTCCCAGCAGAGAATCAAGAGCGCTGCATCCGGAAGGGATATATTCCAGGTGGAATACTGGCACTGCTCGTCAGGGTCGAATCCTGAGCCATCATCGTCTTCCCCTCCATCTACACCCAGATTTGAATGGTTGGCACAATACTTTATCAACCAGGTGTTGTTTTGGTTCGCCATCAGGTTCTGCAGGACTGTCTCATTGGCGCAGACTTTGGAGGTGAAATTTTTGGGGTCCCTATCAGCACAGAGAGCCAATTCAGTCATGTCAACAAAGATGGGGCGGGTCCATTCGTAATACATGCACACCTGAGGAAAGAAAAAAAAAAAGATAAAAGCTGAAACAAATTCGAGACATACTGATAGAATGGATTGAGCCAGTTAAAGCACACACCTGAGGTATATCCTCGATTTCCTCAGTTTCCTTGTCTGCGCACACTGTTTTCAGCCATTTGTTCTGGGGGTTCTCTAAGAGCTTTTCAAACAAAGTCGCCTCACAGCAGACATTCTTCTGAAAAGCAAGCTGGTCATGCTGCCAACACAGTCCGACCACTGAATCGTCCACCTGCCGATTCTTCCACGAGTGGTAGTCGCACCAGTCTAAAATTCGAAAAGGTTGCGGAGCCGCAGTGGGCGGAAAAATCAAAGCGGCGCTGCAATGATCCTCGAGCCAGGCATTGTCCTGATTACGTAATAAGCTATTTAGAAAGGTTCCGTTAGCGCAAACCTTCTCAGCGAAATCTGCGGGATCATTGCGTATGCACTGTGATAAGACATCTGACGTCAATTGCATCACATCTTCCCACTCGGAGTAGTGACAGGATGGTGACAAGAGTGGATCCGAGCTCGGAAATGGTGATGGAAATGGCAAAATTGTGCAGTTTGGCATGAACCTCACATTTTCTGGGTTGGAGGATAATAACGTGAAGAAGTCAGTATGCTCGCAGATGAGTTTTGTAAGTCTTGAACTGTCCAGGCTAATGCAGAACTCCAGCAGGTGTGGCTCTACCAGAACTGTAGGTTGATCAATCCACTGGTGGTAGACGCAGAACTGATCCACCAGGTAGCCGCGGTCCACTGTGGAATTTGCACAGAAGCCATACAACCAACTGTTCATCCGGTCTGACAGCAACTTCTTCATCAGTAAAGTATTATTGCACACATGCTTCACAAACTCCTGCCGTTCGTTGTCGCTGCACAGTGAGACCAGGGCGGTATCCACCACCTGGTTTTCTAACCAGCTGCTGTAGTTACAGACAAGCTGCTGGAGGTTGGGGGCTTCTCTGGCTTTTCGGGGGGGCGCGAGGGAGGCGTGTGGGCTATTCACGGGAAAGTTCGACGTGTCTCCAACATCGCACTCTGATGACCTGCCAAGGAGCGGTGACACCAGCGCCTGAATAACATAGCACGTATTGCTCCATACCAGTTCGACCTGCCCGGCACTGAGCGAGTTGAGCGCCTGACACAAGGCGAGCACCGATGTGGGCGTTTGTGCTCTCGATCCACGGAGAATTTCACCACAAAGTGTATCATTGATGTCGGACAGATTTTGGCGATCGCATCGGAGCAGTATGTTGCGGCTCTTGTCAGTGACTGCCTCTGGGAGACTGGATTCGCGGGAGGCAGGATTCGGGCATTCTGAACCTGGATATGTGCACGTAGAGTGTTCTAGAGGCAGGAGGGTCTCCAGAAGGATGTCGATAAACGAGTTGGTGAAGGACCAGCTAACGTTGTGGTTCAGTCCCCTAAACGAGACAGATTCAACAAATACGTTCAATAGCGGGAAAAACAGCATATGACTTTAGTGAGCTCTACTCTGAGAAATATGTTTTTGACTTCTTGGACTAGAAATGTACAATAAAATAAAAATGATAAAGCAAAAATAATTAGCAATATCGAAATTCACTCAAAATAGAGTTATGTCAAAAATTTTCTGTGACCTGCGGATCTTAAAAAAAAAAAAAAAAACGCTACTGAATAAATTCCAATAAAATACACTATGTGGAGAAAGTACCCAGGCCATTTTGGTGCACATATTTGCTTGTTGCTTTTATAACGGCAGATTTTTTTTTGGATGGGTTTTCAGAAGACTTCAAAAGTCAGGTGAATGTATGTATCAGGGAAATGCACTCACCACATTATGAGTTGCTGGAGATTTCCTGAAGTGATGGAAAACAAAACGTTTTACCAATAAGAAGTTAGACCACAGTGAACATTTTGTGGCAATTACAATGTTGAGACAGGTTACCTTGCTCACAGCTCTCCCTTTCCTTTGGAGATGGAATTGCTATTCCAAACTGCAATGCTATTTTCACATAGTCCATTGGTACTTGGATTAATGTCGCCATGATGTTGGACATGTACGCAACAGCGGCATCCATCACGCCACTCACTGCACTCATCAAAGTCCCAGATAGAGGCGAGCTTTTTAAGATGGTAAAAAATGTCTGCTGAAAGCTGGTCAAGGTTGTGGCTGCTGATTCTCCCACCCCGAGAGAGGCGTTCACCATCTTATGATCTGCATCTGGTGCATCACTCAAGGGCGAACATGTCTGGGATCTCAGAGATGATAAGAAGGTCAGCAGTGGTTTGCCTAACTCCAGAGAAACTGTCTTTGTGAGCTCTGCTTTTGCTCCACAATCTTGTCCCTCGGATAAAATGCAAACTAAAGTTTTGGGAAAGTCATCCACGAAGCCCTCTCTTAACAGCGGTTGAAAGACAGAGTAGACATCAGTCAAGACGCCAGAATATGAATTCAAACCCATGGAGGAAGTGTCCGAACTACGTGTGTTTGCTTCTTCATCAGACAAGTAATGCATCTGACTAATAACTCTTTGGATGTCTGCTTCTAAACTGGTGGTCTGGCTCATTCTTCGTTGTATGAGTCGGGATTGTGGTATCACTTGATTTGCATCACTTATGATCCCTGCAAAAACATAAGAAAACATTCATGTCTACTAAATTCATCGAGTATGGACTCAATGATCTTTGCTGTAGATGATAGGTCACCACGAAATGTCATAAAATCATCTTGCATGGAGAAAATAAAGGACACACAGATTGATATACCTACAGCAACACTGAATCACACTAGCGGTTTCCAATATTTATTTTACCAGCGATTCATAATTTTGGAAAGAGCATTCATTATTGTGCAGCTGCGTTCTAGACACGTGAAAAGTACCAAGTCACTGGTTCCACGCAAATATATGTTGCTGTATTCATCACAATTATAAAATACTGTGGAGCAACACGGTGGTCTGGTTACATGTTCTCTCCATGCCTGCGTGGGTTTTCTCCGGGTACTCCGGTTTCCTCCCATATTGCAAAAACATGCATGGCAGGATGGAACACTCGAAATTGTCCCTCGGTGTGAATATGAGCGCGGATGGTTGCTCGTCTGTGTGCCCTGCGATTGGCTGGCAATCGGTTCAGGGTGTCCCCCGCCTACTGCCCGAGGACAGTTGGGATAGGCTCCAGCACCCCCCGCGACCCTAGTGAGGATAAAGCGGTTCGGAAAATGAATGAATGAATGAATATATCTGCTGTTCTCGCTGTATCTGCTCCCATTGGGTTCCATCTTAAGGAAACATGGTATTTCCTTCCACTGCAATGCAGATGACTGCCAGATCTATGTCCCACTGAGCAAAAAAGACGCCTCACCTCATCAAAAATGTTGACGTCTCAATAACTCGTCATGTGCCCTTGAGCATCAATTACAGCTTGACGACAAAGTTTCATGCTGTTCACAAGTCGTCTTATTGTCTGCTGAGGCATGGCATCTCAAATTTCTTGAAGGGCAGCCCTCAGGTCATTGAGGTCCTGGGGTGCGGAGTTTCGAGCCTCTACATGCTGACTCAGCTGATCCCACAGGTTTTCAGTTAGATTCAGGTCTGGAGAAAGCGCAGGCCATTCCATTTGAGGTACACCAGTCTCCAACAGCCGTTCCTTGATCATGCGACCTCAATGAGCTGGAGCATTGTCGTCCATGAACATGAAATTAGGCCCGTGTTGTTCACGTAGGGGCACAATCACCGGATTAATAACCTTATTCAGCTAGTATTTCAAATCTCTAAATAACCTTGCGCCACCTTACCTCTCTGAGCTCATCCGCCCCTACACACCTGCCCGGCACCTCAGGTCTGCAGACCAGGCATTATTAGAAGTACTGAGCCTCAGTTTACACTAAACTGAGGCTCAGAGGGGATCGAGCCTTTTCTGTTGCTGGTCCCTCTCTCTGGAATGACCTCCCACTGAACATTCGGCAAGCCTCCTCGCTGCCCATCTTCAAAACCCGCCTCAAAACTCACTTGTATTCCTTGGCATTTGACTCAGCATGACTTTGTTCTTGGTTTTGCTGTTCGGTGCTTTCTACTGTTTTTATTACCGATTTGCTTTACTGTTTGTTGTATATGTTAATTTGCTCCATGTACAGCACTTTGTATGCAGCGATGGCTGTTTGAAAGTGCTCTATAAATACAGTTGAGTTGAGTTGAGAATGAATAAAAGATATAGCGCACAAGCTGCAATTGCAGACTGCTGAGCGCTAACAACTTCCAGTGACGCAGTTCGCGACCCCGTAGGTGAAAGATTTACCTGCTTATTTTATTTTATTGTTTAAATACTTTTTTTGTGAAAATAAGATTGATAAGGTGGTTCGGGTGCAGTGTAAATTAACACAAAAATATATTACTAAGATGTACAAAGACACACAAACGGTTGTTTGTTTTTTTTCTTTTCTCCTCTACACCTCTCATGATCGACTTGGGACCAGTCCGCGAGCTACTGGTCAATCGCGATTGACGTAATGGGCACCCCTGATTTAGAGTTACTGCATGTTTTTGTTTTTTTAAATTTTACAACATTTAAGCAAAGCTGCTAATGTTTAAAGTGCGAATGTGGCATGCAGTACAATTAAATATCATTGTTTTTAGTCATTACGGTGGTGCCATTTTTTTTCTATCAATTGTACAATATTGCACGTACTTACCTAATAGGATGTACACCGTGAAAGCAGACCACATTGTTTTGCATTGACCAGCGACCACCCCACAAAGACACTGAAAAGAAGTCTGATATTCGTCACCTCATAAAACATGAAATTCAACACAAAGATCCGCAAATCCGTTTAAGATATTTGACTTCCATGATTCGGGGGCTCCATTCGCTCCTCTGTAGACACTAACCGACCTGCAACTCGACAAGCTGTGTAAATAAGGACACAGCGGTTGTAAAAAAAAATGTGTGGCGTGAAACACAGACTGGATTTGAGTCGTAAGACATTATAAAATATTAATGCGTAATGTTGATTGAAGTGTTGTCGGAAACCCGAGTCCTGCCAGGGGACACCGGACTGGCTGCGGGGACTGACACGACATCTGCCGAAAGGAGTTCATGAAGAAGAAGGAGCGGTCATGAGGCACGTGCTTCCTTCTGCATTTGCATTGTTATTAAGATTACACAGTCTACTGCAAGGGGGTCCTCAGTGTAATCCAGTTGAAAAAATATTGGAATATCTGGCTTTGAAATGTCAGGTTGATAGTCCAGGTCATTGACAGACATCAGTGTTGTGTAAAAATTACAGAAGCCAAATATCCAAATAACCTGCTCTCACACAGTCTTGGGAAATAAAACAACAACAGCAAGAAAGAGGCTTTTAACTTTAAAACTTTGTTTCAGAAATTCAATGTAACTGTATATACACTTTACAATAGTACATAGCCGAGCGGCTAACAAAGATGTCTTAAAACATTTTAAAATACATCTTCTGAACATATAATTCTTACAAGTAAAATAGCATAAGAGATATGAGATTGAGGGGTGACGGGAGGGGGGAAAATATATATATAATCAATACGATTACTTTTCCGAAAGACTTAACTCTTAGCAGAAAAAGTGCATTGATTCAAATTTAACTCAGGACTTCTGACACAAAAACAAACTGTATCCTCTACATGCTAAGTTTAACAGTTTACTGACATTGTGCTAAACTAAATAAACATTTTCAAGAGGAAAAAAAATCCATGTGAAGTTAATCTTCATTAATACATTTTACAAGTTGATATTACATGCCTTTTTAAAATCAAAGATACAAAAGGTTTCCTTATTTTAAGGATTAAAAAAAAACAAGGCTGCATGTATTGTACCACAGAGAGTGTACAATAAACTGGTAATGCACGTAAAAAGGAGCTGGATGACACATCAAATGCCTCTCCCAGTTCCTTCAGAAACCGCTATGAGAGAAACGTTCAAACTCAGAAGCGTCACACAATCGCTCAGTGAGGCTTGCATACTAAAAGTTGGCAAAAAAAAAAAAAAAATTGTGAGATCTGGGCGCCAGGGCGGGACCTCAAGGTGCATCTCCTATCCCTTCAGTCGCCAATGCCTCTCATCTATTTGTTCTAGATTTTGAGGAAGAATTGGGAAAGACACCCGCGACTTCGACCCATGCACAATTTACATTCAGTGTCTAGATGTGCACTCACCGGTACAAGTAAACCTCATTGTGCCTTGCAACCGTCGTTTTACGAGAAACACAAGCCCAATCTAATTTCTGGAGCACAAGCAACATACGATGCAAAAGGCAAGAAAGGGCAGGTGCCGAACATTTGGCAACCACCTCTGATAACCGCCTGCCTTCAACAGCAGGGACTATGTGGCCAGAGCAAGGAAAGCAGGATCCATTTGACAAATCTAACACACTGGACACAAATTAATGCAAGTGCACAATAGTGCAGCAATGAGCGGCGCTCTGCGGTCTGATTGTCTTTTTCTGTCGAACCGACGAAAGCTACTAGCAGAGAAATGATCACATGGCACGGTAAAAGAAACCCAGAGCAACGCTGACACATGTGCCAGTTTAAAAAAAAAAAAAAACATTTTGATACAAACCGAAAACAAAAATACTGCCCAGTTATCAGGAGACTGCGCCAACGCAGATTGCCGAGTCCAAGTCACCTCAATGTTGCACATTTGTCCTCTGTCTCACTTGCAAAAATGTTTGGCGGAAACAACATCCACGTACACGCATAGAGGGTGCTCAGTGAAGCCGGCAGGGAGAAAATATGTTGCTGGTGCCAGATGTGGCTGGTTCGAGGTTGTGACCGGATGTCTGGAGACACTGGCCGCGCTACATTGTCATTATGCTAGTGACAGCCATCAAATTACACTTTACAACGGAAAGACGCGAGGCTGTGATTAAGACAGAATACTAGTGAATTACAAGTAGATGACAATACTGATTGACAAACCAAATACTGCAACGTTGACACACATCACTTCAAACATGAATGCCCTCAAACCTTACACTATGCCAGATTTACATAAGATGTCTTCCACGCACTATTTTAAAAGAACTATGCTGCGTCCACAGTGAAGAAAAAAAACTTGGATTTAAGCCTCGGAGAACATACTGTGCTCCCATTGTTAGATTTGAACAGTTAACTGTGAACACTTTGACGCCCCCTTTCAAAACATTTCGAAGATAAATCACCTGGAAACACTAATTTCAAACAAAAAGACCAAAACAACAACAACAAAAAAAGAACAATACGGTAAAACCTTGATTCACCTACAGCGGAATGCATCAGATTGAAACGCTACAAAGTTGGCCAACCACTACATTACCAAGTTGGTGTGAGTGTGGCAAAGAGTAAACACAAATGCGGATTGATTTGCAGGCCAGCTGTACAGACTGGAGTGTCAACAGCTTCAGCACCAGGGATGGGTTTGGGTTCAACGCCTCAGGTTAGAGTTCCTCTGAACAGGTGGTGTTTTTACAGCCACGAAGCAAGCACCAAATCCTTGAAATAGTGTGGAGACCATTGTCTGCCCCACAGCTGAAAAGTCGATCCAAAATTGGAACGACTCAGACTTCGAAGTGTCTCTTTACATCATGCATACATTGAGAAAATTTCAACCAGTTCTTTAAAAACAATTTTCTTCTGAACAGATAGTGTTTTTTTTTTTTTTTTTTTTAAAGCAGTGAGTTTTGAAAACAAAACAAAATGAAGCAATGGTAACGTTTGAAGCGGCTTTTTACACACATGGTTTTCAGTCCGTCCTTGCTAAAAGCCCATCTGAGATGAAACAGTGGAGTTCAATCAGGAGGCAACATGTCATGAAGACGAAATCTCTCCCGAACATGCGGCCGCACATCCTCGTCCTGTCGAATAAGTAACAACATGAATTAAGGCAGAATAGACTCGCAAAACCCCCCCAAAAACAAGTTTCAGCTTGCTGGTGAATTCAACAAGAAAGAAAGACATCCTACCATCTCAACCAGCTTCTCTAGGAAGGGCACCAACTTCAGCAGCTCGTTGTCATTTCTGTCCATGAACCAGCTCTCGATGGGAATTCCATTTGACAACTGTGAGGGGGGAGTTTGAAATTAAAACTGGCACTGTGTTGTGTCTTGTGTAATGTCGTGAGATGCTGATGGGAGATCAATAGAACAGTTTTAAATTGTGGGAAAGGTAAAAAAACTCGTTAAAACCAGTTACAATGGGTCTGATACTAGTCTGCCCTCAGCGAGATGGCATCAAAATGACAAATTAGTGAAGACCACATCTGCAGTCCTCTTGTGCTCAAAGGTGATGGGATTTCAAATCCTCGCCAAATAAAGGCAATTGGACCTGCTTATGATGGTTTTTTTCCAGACAAATGTAGTAATATAGTATGTAGTACTGGTAATTATAAATGTAGTAATAAAATATATAAGTACATAAAATCATTCATTAGGCAATGCTGGATTTAGACCAAACTAACAAATGACAGCCAATCGTTGCCTCAAAGGAGCCCCGTCAATAATCATGTGACATTCTCAGTTGACCGGTTTCATTATTTTGAAACCAGAATGTATCTCGCATATTATGTTTCTGGTCACCTGGTATGCAAAGGCTTGCGGTGAATTGTCAATGATGATGGTCTTTGACAGATCTCTGCCGAGAATGTTGAGATCCTTGATGTAGTTTCCTTGGACACAGACACAATGCTCCCGAAACAACCTGTGTCTAAAGATAGAGTCGGGAATGACAGGAAAGGGGGATAAATTGATAAGGTCAGATCATAAATCATTCAGAGAACGCAACCACACGCCATCACTGGTACTACAATCATTAATAACATAGAAACACCATACCTGACTAGCTGTTTCTTAGGGTCTAAGATGTTAAGCAGTTTGTCCGCATACACCTTTTTAGAGGCTGTGAAAAGGATGATCTAAAAAGGGAGCGGGGGGGG